GGCTTACGGCGGGTGGGGATGGGGGGGGGGGGGGTGTAATCAGGGGAGCACACGCACTCGGGTGCTGGATAAGCCATCCACAGTGGCCGGAAGACCGGTGGAGGCGGCAAAAATTCTAGACTCGCTTTAAGCTCCAGAGTCGCTAAGTGGGACTCGAACCCGAGCGTGTGACCCCACCAATGGATTGCTCTCCGAACGAGGAATCCATTGGTGGGGTCACACGCTCGGTTTGAGTCGCATTTAGCGACTCTGGAGCTCGCAATGCGCGTGAAGACATTTGGCCGCGACGACCGAATCTTCCCGCCACCTGGAAGGTATTCAAAAACCACTTGAAACAGCCCCTAATCAAAAATTGCGGTCAGTGTCGTGGTCAGTGGCAGACCAAGCGGCGCAAGCGGTCGTTCCCGGCGGCGATACCCCTCGCTCTGGCGTCCGGCGTGCCCGAGGGCGCGCCTCGAGCGCGGGGTAGCTCCGCAGCAGTGCACCAAGCGTGCGCCAAGCCGCACGCAGCGCACATGCATTCCGGGAACGCTGCCGTGCTGTCTATCGCCGCGCTGCACCGCGCTGCGCCCGTTAGCCGCGCACAGCTGCGTGGAATGGGTACCGGTATCTTGCGTCTCTGCCGCGCGCAGATGCGCCCAATGGCCATACCCCCGCCCCCTTCTATTATTCTCGCCTAGCCTAGCGTCCTCATAGATAGGCCTTTAAGGCTAAGGCCTTTCCCTTTTCGGAGCCTAACTGCCGTGTGGGCAGCCTCATCTGGCGCCTGGAAGGTAGGCAACCCATTCCACGCTCTCTCTCTCTCTCTCTCTCCTCTCTCTCTCTCTCTCTCTCTCTCTCTCTCTCTCTCTCTCTCTCTCCGTGTGTGTTATTTGAGTGTGTGAATAACAGGTGGTCGTGGGCCTAGGGTCGTAGGGCCTCCGAGAGACGGAATGGGCAACCTGTTCGGAGCGCAGCTGGGCAGGGCAGGCTGGGCAGGGAGCTGCTTTAGTAGGGCCTACAGGTTTCGGCCGTCCTCCGTGGCCCTGTCCGCGGCTCTGCGGGTCCCGGGGCGCGGTCTGGTGCTGCAGCCCGGGCTGCGGAGCCGGAGAGAAGCCCTCCGCGCGCGGAGCGGTAGTGGGCCACGGCGAGGAAGAGCTCGCGAGGAGAGCGGCCCTAGAGCCCCGCCCCGCCTCCGTTACAGGTGCGATGTTAAACCCGGGTTCAACACGACGCATAAAAGTACTTGGCAGCTACGAGCGCCGGCGCGCCGAGTCGAGCCGCACCCCTTGCAGTGCAGGGCCTTGCGGGGCCTTGCAGCCGCAGCGAGACTTTTACTGCTGGGGAAATGGCTGGGCGGGTCGCGGCGGCGGCGCGCGGCGGCGCGCCCCGGACTCGTGGCTTGCGGTTTTACCTGCAGCTCGCTCAAAAAAAAGAAAATGTTATGCTGACGCATAAATAGCATGGCGCCCCGGCCAAAAAAAAACTTATCTCTTTGATACTTTCAGAGACAGTCAGATGTGCGTTTCCGACTTGTGACCCGGAGGACGCAATCTGTTATTAGACAGAGTACTTCCGTACCCCAATGCAACCAGCCGCCTTTTGCGATCGAAACCTGTTTCCAAAGTGTCTTGGCATTTCTTTAAGTTCATCCTTTCAAAGGTTGGTAGGTCTTGGTACCGCTTGCATAAAGACGATAAGAAATCGCAACCCGTGCCCTCTCCTCTCACTTATCCCTTGCGGCCCTCTAGCCTTTCGGGGACCTTGGCCTAGCGAGTGGGGTAGCAACCCTGGCAACCCTGGCAGTAGCTGTCCGGCCCGGCTGCCCCTCTCAGCAGGACCCCTGCAAGTCCTGCAGGATAGCTCTGCGCTGCGGACCGGAACGGTTCCTACTGGCGTGTTTATCTGCGTGCGTGGGCCGGGGCATTTATTCTTGGAGGGGCGGGGCGGGGCGGCACTCCGGAAACATTTCTCTCTCTCTCTCTCTCTCTCTCTCTCCCCTCCTCCTCTCCTCTCTCTCTCTCCCTTTTCTCTCTCTCTCTCTCCTCTCTCTCACCCCCCCCCCCCCTTCCCCCAAACACACTCAAGCCGCGGCGCGGTGTCTTCCCACCCTCCAATCACGAGTCCCCGCGTGGCCGCCGCGCCGCCGCTACCCCGCCGCTCCCTGTTCTACTTGTTACCCCTGCATGTCCGTGAACTTGCCGACATTTCCACGGCGGGGCTGCCTGGCCTTAGGCCTGGCCTTAGGCTGCCTCAGGCCCGGCTGCCGGGCGCCGCCGTGCTCCGCGCGTGACGCACGCCATGCCCTTGCGCACGGCACCCGCACGGACTCCGACCCACCGGCCGACCCTCCTCCGACCCACGCGGACGCCGACCCAACGCACAGTGGGCCGGAAGACCGGTGGGGCGGCCAAAATTCTGGACGCGTTTTGAGCTCCACAGTCGCTAAATGGGACTCGAACCGATCGTGTGACCCCACCAATGGATTACTCTCCGAACGAGGAATCCATTCGTGGGGTCACACGTTTAGTTCGAGTCCAGTTTCGCGACTCTGGAGCTCAAAACGCGTCTAGAATTTTGGTTGCCTCCACCGGTCTTCTGGCCCACTGTGCATCGGCGCACGCGTCGAGCCCTAGAGTGCCTCCGGCCCACCTTGGCGCGCCTTGGCGTGGACTGGTACGGCCGAGAGTACCGCGAAGCACGGAAGCGTGACACACGCGCACGCACGCTCAGAAACAAACTCACACGCACAGTAACGAACAGTACAAATTTTGGCTGCTGTCGTTTGGTGAGAAAGTTGAATGCTGGTTTTCCCGTTCTCGCGAATGTCATCAAACCTTTTGATGACATTGTTGTGACAGACGCCAGAAACTTTGAAAAAAATATATTGATCAGTTTGAGGTGAAATTGTCATTATTTCCAAGAGTTGAAGTTGAAAATGCCATCTATGGTCTTCTTTTAAAGTGCTCTCTCTCTCTCTCTCTCTCTCTCTCTCTCTCTCCCCCCCCTCTCTCCCCCCTCCCCCTTCCCCTCTCTCTCTCTCTCCCCACCCCCTCTCCCACTCCCCCCCCCCCTTTCTCCGCACGCGTGCAGGCTTAGTCACCCGCGGCTGAGTCCACCCCTCGCACCCCTACCCCCGAAGCGACCGAACAGCGCGCGGACCGCCCGGACGATAGGCAACCCTTCCTGCCCCTCGACGCGATGGGTTGCCTACGCTGCAAAAGCGGACCCTGGAAAAGGGTTCTCGTTCTCACGCCCTCGGCTCGGCCATTGTCTCCGGGCGGGGCCCTTGCAGCCTGCGGTCCGATTCCGAGAGTCGTCTTCGTCGCTCGGTCTCTCTCGCACCTGTACAGGACGCCGCATGAGTGCGAGAGGGACAGAGCGACGAAGACGACTCTCGGAATCAGTCCGCAGGCTGAATAGCCGTCCACTCGTGAGTGCGGTGCGCGAGTTTTCGTGATAAAATGGACAAGTGGCGACGGGGAGGGGGGACGGACAAGGAAACTCGGTCCGAGCATCCGGGAGAGAATGTCTTACGACGGTAGATAGGGGTGATGATTCCTCGTTCTCTTCGTCGGTGCGAATGCGGGCTTCAACTAACGTACTGTACGTCCCACTCCACTACAGACGTCCTGGAATCTCTCGCCAACATTCCGATGAAAAATTCAGCACGCCGCTTCTTCTGCCGGGTTCGGCGCACACGGTGTTGGCGCGCCAGCCTGATTCCGAGTGTCGTTTTCGTCGCTCTGTCTCTCTCGCACTCGTGGGGCGTCCCGTGCAGGTGCGAGAGAGACAGAGCGACGAAGAACCGACTCCTGGAATCAGCCTGCAGCATCCGACCGAGCTGAAAATAAGCGGCTGGAACGAAAGGGGTGCTGGGCGCGGCGCGGACTGGCAGTGGCGTGGACCCTCACACACCGCGCCACCATGGCGCCACGCAGTAGCCACCCGTGTCTGACGCGATAACAAGGTTATGGCGTCGCACCTTGGAATCTCAATAGAGCGGTAACGCCGAGCCGAGTCGAGCCGAGCCGAGCCGAGCCGAGCCGAGCCGAGCCGAGCCGAGCCGAGCCGAGGCCCCTCACGTCGCGAAGTGGGGGTGGATTGCGCAGTCCGCGGGGAATCCGTCCCGGCCGACGAAATAATCCGAAATATCTCTGGAGGAACGGAATGGTGTAGCAGCGGGTCCGAGGAGGGGGAGTGCCGAGAACGCAGCGGCTCACGGTAAGCCGAGTGTTGAAGTGAGAGGAAGGAGGCGGATAACCGGACAAGAAAAAAATAAGTGGACCACGAATCCTATTTTCAATTTTTTAAACAACAGTGAGGGAACAAAACAAGATCTCAATCACGTTGCGTGGTGGGTGCTGCCAAACACGGGATGGTGGTCTGGGTCACACTGGCAGTGTGGTGGATGGTCGGCGGCGTGGCTCTCGCAGTGTGGCGGCCCCACGTCGGTGGCGCAGTCTGGCAGCAGGGGTGCAGTCGGTCTCAAAACGCTTTCGCGTGCCAAAACAACTCCACCCGACTGCCCACCCCGCCCCGCCCCGCGCTGCCCTACGGGACAGCAACACAGCAAACCGTCAAACCGTGCCAAAAGTTGTAGACAAATCACGGATGCGCATTCAATCTCCCCCACCCCCGCCTTCCTTCCGTCACATTGTGCCTCCACTGGCTGCCGCGGCCGCTGGCTCGGCCCGGGACGGCCGGGACTTGGGCCGCTCCACGCCCGGACTGCCCAGACGGCCGCCGCCGGCCCCACCGGGGCCCGGACAACCCCGGAGTCCGGAGCTTGGCCGGACAGCCCGGAAACGGCCAGGACGGCCAGGCGGGCATACGAATGGGCGAGAGACGGAGAGAGAGAGAGAGAGAGAGAGAGAGAGAGAGAGAGAGAGAGAGAGAGAGAGAGAGAGAGAGAGAGAATATCTTCTTTGCGTGGAGCGAGCAGAGCGGTGCAGGGGCCGCCACGAGGGGCGCCCGCCACCGTGGGGGCAATTTGGTTGGCAGCACTGGCGGACGGCGTGTCAAACTGTTTCACTGCTTTCGTTTTATTAGTCCTTTCCTTTCCAAAACGACACGCGTCGTGCCCGTTCATCAGTACTGCAGCGACGTTATCTTGTTCTCGTAGTTCTGCGAAAAGAAAACAACGATGAACACCCGAGAAAAGAAGGGGTTAAATCGTTGGCAGAGAGTTAGTTTCTCACCTCCCTGGCTATTCTAGCCAGGCTGTCTGCCATTTGCTGTCCGGTCTCCTGGACCAGCGAGTAGAAGATGCCTCGCTTCTGCATCAGCATGTGCGGATGGTCGAACTCCTGAGGAGGAAACGAAAACTTTAGGAAAATGTCGGAAACTCGCATCATTTGGCGAACTTTGTGTGACCGTTCGTGTAGCGCGATGGCCGCGCCGCTTATCCGACTCTCTAGAGCGCGCCGAAGTTTAAATCGCGGCGGAGGACACACTTGTTGCCCGGGACGGCCGGGACAGTGCGGGGCAAAGCGAGCGCGGCGCTGACGAGCTGGTGGTGGGCAAGGCCAGCAGCGAGGTCAGAGGGCTAATTCCGAAAGGGGTGTGTCTGTCTCTCTCGCACCGGTGCGGGGCAACGCATGGGTGCGAGAGAGAGGGAGGGAGGGATCTCCTCCAGCTCGAGGCAAGTTTGCAGTGGCGGGCCAGGCGGGCCAGTGGTGGGGCCAGCGCCGCCAGCGGCGTGCCCTGGGCCGTTATCTGCACGCGCTAACGCGTCCGTATGATTTGCTACGCCACCGGCAGCGCCGCCCCGCCCCACCCCGCCCCGCCCCGCCCCCTCGCCTGCCCGGCTTCATCCGCCGAGCTATCCATCAATGCCAGCCCCCGACCCGGGCCGCGGCGCGGGTTCAACTCCCGCCACAGGCACACTCCATTTCCCCACATCTCTCGGCGGGGCGTGGCGTGGCGCGGCGGGGCGGGGTGGGCGTTGAGAAAAAAATGGCTCTGTACTTTGCGTGCATTACGCGGCGAATGGGACGGCGCTGATCGGGGATTGAGGATGGAGGTTGGAGGTGGGGGTGGGGTGCTGAGATGTGGTAGAGACCAGTCTACAGCCAAACGCAGACGACGGACGTCTCTGAAGCAACAAGCCGGAACCAGCCAATCATCGGTGAGGAAGGACGTAACGAAGGAATCACAAAGAGAGGGAAAATTGTGGCCAAGGATACGACGAAGCGAAGGACTATACTGACCGCCGCCCGGCCCGCGTCCATGACGAGCACGCGGTCCGAGTCCATGATGGTGTTGAGGCGGTGGGCCACCGTCAGCACGGTGCACCGCGCGAACTTGGAGCGGATCGTGCTCTGGATCAGGCCGTCCGTTCTGCCGAAAGCCAAACGAGAAACATTATTTGACAGTCTTGGTCCGGCACACTGTCGCCTCCACGGGACGCGGCACTCACTGAGGGTCCACGTTGGCGGTGGCCTCGTCCAGCATGAGGACCTTGTTGCCGCGCAGGATGGCCCTGGCCAGGCAGATGAGCTGCCGCTGGCCGACGGAGAAGTTGGAGCCCGCGTCCGCCACCCGCATCTCCAGGCCCTCCGACTCGGTGGCGGCGTCCCGGAGCTCCACCTGTCGAACATCATCGTCATCATCAACGTCGTCATCAACATGATCATGATTTGATGATCAGGATGATGATGTTGATGATCATGATGATGTTGAAGATCATGATGATGTTGAAGATCATGATGATGTTGAAGATCATGATGATGTTGATAATCATGATGATGTTGAAGATGATGTTAATGATCATGATGATGTTCATGAAGATGTTGGTGATCATGATGATGTCGGTGACCATGATGATCCTGGTGATGTTGATGATCATGAAAATGATCCTCAAGTTACTCACGTCCTCGAGGGCGGCCCACAGCATGTGGTCCTTGTACTCGTCGAAGGGGTCCAGGTTCTTCCGCAGCGTGCCGGAGAAGAGCACGGGGTCCTGGGGGATGATGGAGATCCTGGAGCGCAGCAGCTGCAGCGGGATGCTGCCCGTGTCCACGTCATCCAGGACCACTTGGCCCTCCAGGTAGGCGAGCCGGAACAGCGCGGAAATGAGCGAGGACTTGCCCGCGCCCGTCCGCCCGACGATGCCAACCTTGCGACAAAAAAAAATAGAATAGTAAAAAGTTGGAAAGCGCGGACGACAGGCAGGGTACCTATGTCTTGTAAGCCACAAGAGATATTTTTTTAAGTTATATAGAAGATAAAGATAATTTGGAATTGAATTTCGAACTATAAGTAACGTTTGCGCAACTTTTTCATCTATAACTGTTTTCGAGATATAGGCACCCTAATCGTCAGTGTCAAGTTGGCACACCCTGGACTTCCCCGTACTCAACCTTTTGCCGACCTTGCAAGTGGAAAATTTGCAAACTTTCCAAAATGACGGAGTAAGCGGAGCCGCAGGGAGAACTCCCGGCCGCTTCGGTTCAGTGCGCCGCCACACCCTCGGGGCGTGTCAAAGGGGTGGCCTACCGGCCGGGCGGCTGGCAGGCATGCCGCGCAGATAGGCCTGCGGCCCGCACGCCGCGTCGTCGCTCTGTCTCTCTCGCACCCCGACGGGGCGCCCCGTCAGTGCGAGTGAGACAGAGCGACGAAACCAGTGTTCAGCTGGCTGATTTACTCGGCGCGGGTGTGGGACTCCTCGCCACCACCGCGCAGCCCGGCCTCGGCTCGGCTCGGCTCGGCTCGGCTCGGCTCGGCTCGGCTCGGCTCGGCTCGGCTCGGCTCGGCTCGGCTCGGCTCCGGCTCGGCTCGGCCCGCGTGAGTTGTCTGTCGCGTGCCCAACTGCCATATCGGCCGCACCCCCTCCCCCTCCCCCTCCGGGCAGCGGTCCCACCGCGCGGGATACATATTGGGGGGCATTAGAGTCGATGAAGACCTCACCTCCAGCGCCGTCTAGCGCTCAGAGGGTCCGCCTTGCCGCGCCTTGCCACGCCCCGCGCCTTGACCATTACAAAGCGCTCAGCGCGCGAGCGTGCCGCACGCGTCTGCGCGGCGCGGCGTGGCACAGGACCCCACATTACACTACACCGTAATGAAGGTCTCGATCAGGGAGACCAAGGCGGTGCAGGCACACTGGCTGACAGCTTGATCGGCGCCGCCCCGCCTCGCCTGACGAAGTGCGCCGTCTTTAAGGAGCGCCCGGCCCGCTTATCGGCAGAGTCCCCACGGGGGGCGTTTGTTTTGAGGAACGGCCCGCCATGTCGTCGCTCTGTCTCTCTCGCACTCGAGGGGCGTGCCGTGGCGGTGCGAGAGAGACAGAGCGCCGGAAGCAAGTGCGCTGTACCTTCTCCATGGGGTTGATGACCAAGTTGAGGCCCTTGAGGACGGGCGGGGACTGCGGCGCGTAGCGCATCCACACGTTCTTGAGCTCCAGCCGGCCCTCGCTCGGCCAGTCCGCCTTCGGGGCGGTCCCTGCGGAGGGAAAGTTTAAAGACGTTAATTGGCGCACAGTGGGCCAGCAGACCGGTGGAGGCGTCGCTGAACAGGACTCGAGCCGAACGTGTGACCCCACCAATGGATTGCTCGTTCGGAGAGCAATCCATTGGTGGGGTCACACACTCCATGAGGTACCTTCAGTCAGGGGGATTTTGTCCTCGGTGGGCAGGTCCGTGTACTCCAGGACTCTCTCGACGCTCAGCAGCTGCGACGCGACCTCGGCGGACTGCCGCATGCCGAACTGCACCAAGCCGGTCATGGCGATGGACTGACTGATGGCGAGGCCCACGTCACCGCCAAACGCAGCTGTGAGGACGAGGGTGTTCGAAATCAGACATCATTTTCGACACTTTCTGATTGGTAAATCGGCAGTTAAAGTGACATTACTAACACTGTTCCATGAGTAAGAAACTGAAGATGACGACGAATGTAAAGCACATGCTGAGCAAGTCTAGGAAGGTGCCGAAGGAGGTGCTGGTGAAAATGAACATGAACCACGCGGACGTGTGCAGGTTCTGAGATGGCGGAAAAAGAGCGAAAAATAAAGAAAAATCCAGGGAGGGAAGAGAGAAGGGTTGTCGAATCTACTCCGATTTCGCAAAGTGTGGCTCACCTGGTGGTTGTCGAACTCGGCCCTGACGAGCTCCTGGGCGTTGAACGCGCGGATGGTGGACAGGCCCTGGATGGAGGCGTTCAAGTGGGTGAACACCGGACTGCGGGCTGGAATAGAAGTCGACAATCATCACCAGCTACACAGCCAAACCGTGAAAACGACTCACGGTGCGCCAGAGGACCATAGCGGAGAGGCCAAAATTATTCGAGACGCGTTTTGAGCCCTTGAGTCCCTAAATGGGACTCGAACCGAGCGTGTGACCCCACCAACGGATTCCTCCTTCGGAGAGCAATCCATTGGCGTGGTCACATGTTCGGTTTGAGTCCTGTTTTATGATTTTGGAGCTCAAAACGCGTCTCGAGTTTTGACCGCCTCCTCCGGTCTTCTAGCCCACTGTACGGCTCGAGGCTGCGAATCCTACTCATCCCCTCCAGACGCTTGATGTTCTTGGCCGACCGCAGGTAGATGAGCCTGGCCAAGTAGAAGACGACCAGCAGCACGGCGACGGGCACCAGGAACACCCAGTCCACCGCGACGGCCACGGCGATGTAGCCGAAGAAGGCCAGGATGTACTGCAAACGTACGAGCCGATCATGAAGGCCCAGCCACGAGCCCAGCCATCAATAGCAATATGAAGCAGAATAAAATAGCAATTGGCCGGCGGCGCCGACGGGTTGCCTACCAGACGCCTGACGGGCTGAGGTAGGCAACCCGGTCAACGCCGGTGCTTGGCGGGCAGGGCTCCTTGAACTTAGACGTTGCAGTGTACCTGCGAGGCGTCCAGGAGGGCCTTCGGAAGCAGCTCGTCGACGCCGCCCAGGTCCTTGGAGAATCGGTTGAGGATCCTACCTGTTGGGGACAGAGACACACAGAGGTCAGAATCACTCCGCGCAAAGGCAATGAAAGAAATCGGCCGATTATTGAAGTAGTGAACGAAATGAGCAAGAATCGATGCTCAAAATGTAGACCAATCAATTTGGTTTCATTCGATTAATTAATTTGTTTTCGGGAGGGAATTTAAAAAAAATTGATAAAAGATTAATGAAACCTGTCTTGATTTTTAACAATAGTCGAATCGGAGTTTCGGGAATTCGTTGGCAGTTAAATTTGAAAGACAATTTTAGTCAATTAATCGATAAGTGGCAGAGTGGCCGTCCAGGCTGCGTGGACTCGCCGCTGCTGCCGCCACAACAACTTTGCCGAACTAATCTTGTCCGCAAAGTTCGAATATTTTAAGCGACGCTCCGCCGCGCTCCGCCCTGCGCTCCACAGTGGGCTTGGAGACCGGTGGAGGCGGTCAAACTCCCGGACGCGCTTTGAGCTCCAGAGTCGCTAAATGGGACTCCAACCGAACGTGTGACCCCACCAATGGATTCCTCGTCCGGAGAGCAATCCATTGGTGGGGTCACACGTTCGGTTCGAGTGCGATTTAGCGACTCTGAAGCTCAAAAGGCGTCTATAGTGTTTTGTCCGCCTCCACCGGTCTCTGGCCCACTGTGCTGCTGGGGTTTGCGCAGGCTTGCGTGAGCCTGTTCGGATGGCCGTCTTATCGCGGCCGCGCGGCACGTCACTACCGCCCGCCAGTTCATTAAACAACTGCATTTTGTGTCCGTCCATAACGCGAGGCTTCTCCGAGGAGATACCGTAAAGACTCGTTGTTAACGCGCGCCGCACAGTGGGCCAGAAGACCGGTGGAGGCGGCCAAAATCCCGGACGAGCTTTGAGCTCCAGAGTCAACACTTTTTCCGTAAGTTTTCTCTCGAGAGACAACCCGGCCCTTGAAACACACGCTGCGTCCTGTTCATTAGCGTCGCCAGGACACTGGGACTGCCGGTGCTCTTCGCGGCTTTGAACGGCGAGCGCAGCGCACAGAGAATGAAAATTTCAAACTTGAAAACTCGTTTACCCCGCGTCGTCATCACACTGCTTGCTTTAGCAGCTCCATAATTCACTTGCCACTTTGTGCCTTCAAAGGCAGCGCCAGGAACCCCCACTCTTTTTTTCTGACGCGTTCCCTTTCGCAGAGAACGGCGCCGCGTCGCCATTCAGATGATGCCGTGACCACACCGTATGGGAGGGTGAGAAGTCGCGAAAAAAAAACCGCAGTGGGTGGGGCTCGAACCCGGACCTCCCGCACGACAGTCGGTGCCTTTACCGCCTGCGCCACGGGGCAGGCGATCGCGGCACGGCTCGCGGAAAGCACCTTAATTGCGCGCGCGTGCGCGGCTCTCCGTGCTGGTCAAGGAGAGCCCAGGCATTCCGGATTACGAGCCCGGATGCCCCAGGAGACTGGCGCACGACAAGAAATGTCAACAGACTTGAAACGCGTGTGGGCTTATTGCATTCCTGGCGAGTCTGGAGGCTGGCTGGAGGCTCCTGGAGGCTCCTGGAGGGCGCAGGGTCTGCTGGAGGAGGCGGAGGGCGGGGGCACTGTACGGACACCTGGGACGACACGAGCACGCCCTCGCCGATCTCAGGCACGGCCGTTCCGCCACGGCCAGCCGCACTTATGGACGCGCACGATTTCCATAAAAAGAAAAGCGGGAACGAGTCGCGGCGGCGGGAATCGAACCCACGGCGCCTCTGCCGCGCGCAGCCCCGACGACACGGGTTTTGGTTTGAAAGTTCGCGCCGCAAGGGCCAAGTTGGCTTGAGGAGTCCCGCTAGAAATTGCCCAATTCGGTGAGAATTTTGTGGAGGTTTCACAGTGCTTGCAGGCCGAAAGTGGGACTGGGCTCGGTGCGCCGCGACGTGGCGGGGTGGGCAAGGCGGGGTGGGCATGGCGGGGTGGGCAAGGCGGGGTGGGCAAGGCGGGGTGGGCAAGGCGGGGTGGGCAAGGCGGGGTGGGCAAGGCGGGGTGGGCAAGGCGGGGTGGGCAAGGCGGGGTGGGCAAGGCGGGGTGGGCAAGGCGGGGGGGGCAAGGCGGGGTGGGCAAGGCGGGGTGGGCATGGCGGGGTGGGCAAGGCGGGGTGGGCAAGGCGGGGTGGGCAAGGCGGGGTGGGCATGGCGGGGTGGGCAAGGCGGGTGGGCAGGCGGGGTGGGCAAGGCGGGGTGGGCAAGGCGGGGGGGGCAAGGCGGGGTGGGCAACGGCGGGGGGTGGGCAAGGCGGGGTGGGCAAGGCGGGGTGGGCAAGGCGGGGTGGGCAAGGCGGGTCGGGCAAGGCGGGGCGGGTCCCGGGTACGGTAGGGCCATGGCGAGGCGTAGCGGCCACTGGTCTCCAGGGTGCCGTTGAGAGTGTAGATCGGTCGCTGCGTTCTGGAGCGCCTCGCTGCCGCTGTGCTGCCGCAGCCTGCCGCCCCGCCTGGCGTCTCTTTCCCTCCAGTGTGTCCGCCGATAAGGCCTGGCCCGGCCAGCCCGGCCGAGGGCGGCCCACCTCGGCATTGTGGGCTTGCGGGTAATTGCCTGAAGAAATTCCCGCTCCCCCGCCTCTCTCTCTCTCTCTCTCCCTCTCTCTCTCTCTCTCTCTCTCTCTCTCTCTCTCTCTCTCTCTCTCTCTCTCTCTATCTCTCTCTCTCTCTCTCCCTCTCTCTCCCTCTCTCTCTCTCTCTCTCCCCCTCGCGCAAGGTCGCCGGCATGCTACTTCTTGCGGACGGCTTGCTCGTTTGCGCGCCGAAACGGACCTCTTTTTCTGGGCGGCGCGCGGCGCGGCCTTCAAAGTATTACAGCCGCCGTCGCACCTCAGCGTGTCCATTCCGGCAAAGTGGGGACAGCGCTGCCGCTGGAGAGCGGCAGAGGGCGGGGCGGGGCGGGGCGTTGGAGAACAGTGGCCGGGGCCGCGGGACAGTAGGGGGTGGAACATGCGGGAAGATGGTTTCGAGAGGGTAGCGAGTCGGGTAATCCGGCCATCCGCAATGCGGATTACCAGAAATTTTTAGGTAATCCGGTGATAAGTCTCGGTTGATCCGACGGCAATCCCAAGTAACCCGAGGTAAGTACTCCGACGGAATAAAAGGGTAGGCATGAAAAGAAAAGAAAGGTTTAATCCGGTGGTGATCCCGAGGTATTCCGGAGGTAATCCGGAGGTAATCCAAAGGTAATCCGGATCCATGGGTGTTACGGGTAACCTGTAATCCAGCTGGCACAAAATTTACCCGATATTTCTTTTCTCCCTCGGATAGTGGGAGAGGGTTGGGGGCTGGTACACTGGAGCAAAGTCTTGGGAGTGCCGGCGGGGTGCGCGCTCTGGGGCTTCCAGCCGCTCCAGCCGCTTCCGCGGCCTCCAGCCTGGAGAGGGCTCTCCGGGCTGTGAACTGGCTCCGAGAGTCGCCCGTCCGTCCCTCTGTCTCTCTCGCATCTACACAGGACGCTCCATGGGTGCGGGAGAGACAGGGCGACGGGCTCTCGGAATCAGTCTGCTGACGGCCTGCTTGGCCAGATGAGGGACATTAGGGGGGCGCCTTGATGCGCGCAACTAGTGCTGCAACACGGCCACGCGTCTTGTGGCCTCGCACCGGGGCGGCCCCGCACCAGGGCACCAGGACGGCCCCGACCAGGGCCCTGGCCGCGCCCTCGCCCCGGGTCCACAGGTGTCCGATAACTCGGACGGACGAGCGATCCGTGCGGAGGGCGCCCTGCGCGCCCAGCCCTCGGCCCTTCGAGCAGCAGGCTGATTCCGAGCACCGTCGCCCTGTCTCTCTCGCACTCGTGGGGTGCCCCTTTAGGTGCGAGAGAGACAGAGCGAGGAGGTAAGCAAGCAGTGCTCGGAAACAGCCCGCAGGGTGAGCAGCGGGTACGGCGCGAGTTCGCGGCCCCAGCGCCACTCCTCCTCCACCACCACCACCAACCCGGCGCACAGTGAGCCAGAAGACCGGCATGGAGACGGCCAAACTCTAGACGCGTTTTGAGCTCCAGAGTCGTTAGATGAAACTCGAAACGAACGTGACCCCACTAATGGATTGCTTCCTGGACGAGGAATCAATTGGTGGGGCCACACGTTTGGTTTGAGGCATGATTAGCGACTCTGGAGCTCAAAACGCGTCTAGAGTTTTGGCCAACTCCACCGGTCTTCTGGCCCACTGAGCAGCGCGAGGCGAGGCGGGGCAACCCGGCCCTGCCTTTCTCTCTGTCAGCCGCGAGCTGCATCCATATTGCAGGCAAGACGGAGTACCCGGCTCCGCCCGGCTATTCATGTTTCAGAGTCGCCATTCGTTAAAACGGGAGCAATTGATGCTGCCCGGTCGCTTTCTCCTCTCTCTCTCTCTCTCTCTCTCTCTCTCCCCCTCCTTGGGATGCAGACGGCCTCATGCTTCATGCGCACGGGCCGGACGGTCTACAGTGGCGTGGCGTCGGGGCCGCGGCAGTTCGACCCCCCCCCCCCCCCCCGGCTTGGCTTTTTGCCGTCCATCGCCTTGGCGGGAAACTTGTGGCTAGGGGCGGTCTTATCACCGGGCCGGGTTGTCCTCGCCGGTTATCAGCCCTACTTTCACCTACCCGCTCCGCCCCGCCCCGCCTCGCCCCGCCCCGCCCCACCCCGCTCCGCCCCGCCCCGCCCCGCCCCCCCCGCCCCGCCCCGCCCCGCCCGAGCCGCCGCGCCTGAATATTCATGGCTTCCCTTCCAGCACGCTTCCAGGACGCTTCCAGCACGACGACGATGTGCTCATCCACCTCAAAGTCATCCGGTTAGTTTGGGCCGCGCGCCGCGCCGCGCCACCTCTCCGGCTCCTCGCTGGCAATTGTCATAATCCCGATATGGCCCTGCAGTGCCTCAGCGCCTTGCAGTGGCGAGTGCCGCGTCGCGTTCAAGAAGCTGCCGCCACCACAGTGGGCCGGAAGACCGGTGCACTCTTAAAACCTTCAACCCCGCTTCAACTTTACGGCGGTCGAGGCTCGGCCGTGCAGCGCGTGGATGTCTCGGCGCGAAGCGTGTGCATCTTGGTGTGTGCGGAGTCTGCGGAGTGCACCACTCATATATATGCAACGGCATGCCAGCCTACCACTAGTTTTACGTGTTTGACTTTCAGATTCAACGGCCGAGTCTCGTTAGTGCAGCCGAAGGGCCCGAAAGGGTGTGGCCGAACGGGGGAAGGGGGGAGAGAGAGAGAGAGGGGGGGGGGTACCCAAAGGGGTCGAAAGCAGGGAGCGAAATGCAGTGGTCCGCTCACCCGACGGGTTGGTGTTGAAGAAGTGCATGGTGGCCTGGATGATGTTGGCGAACATGTTGTCGTGCAGCGCCTGCGAGCACTTGCTGCAGATCCAGTAGAAGTAGAAGGAGCGCACGAAGCCCAGCACGAAGAGGCTGGCGATGATTCCCGAGTAGATGTACACGAAGTTGACGGTGGTGGTGAGGGGCTGCTGCGTCACCACGGCCGCCCCCGGGGCGTGGCTCTGCGACTGGTACTGCCGCAGCTCCTCCTGGTTCGTCCTGGGAAACCACAACCATTTCAAGGAGGTCTGTCTACCCTTCTTAGAAACAAAGGAATAGACTATGTCGCTGGATCCACTTCAATCCCTCGAGAAGACAAATGCACCGGAAGTCGGGTTGCGTCGACCAATCAGAAGCCTCCTTTCATCAAGGGTAGCTACCACTGATGAAAGGAGGCTTCTGATTGGCCGACGCGACCCGACTTCCGGTGCATTTGTTTTCTCGAGGGATCGAAGTGGATCCAGCGATATAGTCTACACATATCACTGTAAATGATTGCATTGCTGCGCTTTCGGCGTGCCTCCGTGACTACTGACCAGAACCCGACGAAGTAGTCGGCCATGCTGGCGGCGGCCTGCGCGGCCAGGAACAGGACGATGAGCTGGCCGAGGCAGAAGACGTTGGTGCCCGTCAGGAAGTACCTGAAGAAGAGCGAGCCCTTGACCTGGCCCCGGGTAGTGGCCTCCAGCCGCTCCGGCTCGGGGGCGTCCGCCTCGTCCACCTCGTCGGCGACCACCTCGACCTCGCCGACGCTGGAGATGGAGATGGAGGACCGCATGGACGACCGGATGGACGACCGCCGGGAGGAGAGCCTGGTGGTCGAGACCTGCCTCTCCAGGGACTGGACGACGAAGGTGAGTTAGTTGGACGAACATGACGCACAGTGGGTCAGAAGACCGGTGGAGGCGGTCAAAGTTGTAAACGCGTTTTGAGCTCCAGAGCTGCTAAACAGGACTCGAACCGATCGTGTGACCCCATCAATGGATTGCTCTCCGAAAGAGGAATCCATTGGTGTGGTCACTCGTTGGGTTCAAGCCCTGCACAGCGACTCTGGAGCCCAAAACGCGTCTAGAGTTTTGTCTGCCTCCACGGGTCTTCTGGCCCACTGTGTGGCGGGATATTCCTCCATTTCAGTGTGACTGCACCGTACCACTTTGCTCGACACGCGTGACATCTGCCGCAGCGCTCGCATGAGAGGCCTGCTGTCCTCGGGCTTCTTGCCCTCCTCGATGACGTCATCGGTGACGTCCTCGTCCTCCTCGGCCAGGTGCAGCATTTGCGCGTAGTCGACGTCACTGTGCAACAGTTCCTTGAACGTCCCTTGCATCTGAATCTCTCCCTGCGAATAAGCGAGGAAAGTGAAGCGACTCGCGGCGTTATCCGCAGAACGGAACGCGCCCCCCGATGACCACGGCCCGGTCAACCCCCATAGTTCCACCGAAGGCCACCGACTGCGGGCTGCTCCCCCACTCTGTCTCTCTCGCACTCATAGGGTGTCGCGCAGGGGTGCGAGAGAGACAGAGCGACGAAGCGCTGCCCGGAATTCCTTGGCCGAATGCGCTCCCATTCCACATAAATTACTCCGCCACCATAAACGGCCCATGCCGTGATTGCGGCAAACAAAAGAAAACGCGCTGGCGCCAAATTTGAACGATGGCGCGCCGCACTGCGGGCTCATTCCGAACGGCGCTCTGTCTCTCTCGCACCCCTACAGGACGACTCACGAGTGCGAGTGAGACAGCGTGATCGCGCTTTCGTCGACGAAAGCGGCGCACAGTGTGCTAGACGACCGGTGGAGGCGGTCGAAATACCGGACGCATTCTGAGCTCCAGAGAGTCGCTAAAAGGGACTCGAACCGAACGTGTGACCCCACCGATGGATTGCTCTCCGAACGAGGGGTCCATTGGTGGGGTCACACGTTCGGTTCGAGTCCCATTCTACGACTCTGCAGCTCAAAAGGCGTCTAGGCCGCCTCCGCCGGTCACTGTGGATGACTCACGTTGTTGAGGATGGCGATGCGAGACACCTCGCTGAGGTACTGCACCTGGTGCGTCACCAGCACCACGGCCTTGCCCTTGAGCAGCTTGCACACGCACTCCTCGAACAAGTGCTTGCCCACGTGCGTGTCCACGGCCGACAGTGGGTCGTCCAGCAGGTACAGGTCCGCATCTCGGTACACCGCCCTGGAGGGAAAAAGAAAAGCGTCTTTTGTCTTCAAACTTTTCTAAACTGGAAGGACTGAAGAGACGTCACTCTTAACCCAGGGGCCTGCACTTTACTCGTCCCTGCTCTTCATCGTTTACTTGTAACACGGCACGGCACGGCACGGCACGGCACGGCACGGCACGGCACGGCACGGCGGCATGCGAGGAAGTGTCTGGCCGCGTCGCCAGCGGCGCGGCTCGACCGGCCCGATGTCGCCTGCGTAATATATCCTGGCTATAAATTTCCCAAATTTACGCTGCGCTGTTGCCCGGGGCGCAGGGCGCGGCCCAGCGCGGCCCAGGCCGACCTCCGCGCCGCCCTCCGCGGCCTCCAGTCCGTCTCTTGTCTCTGTCGCACGCAAGGGGCGGCCCGTTGCGGTAGCGAGAGAGACGGAGCGACGAGAAAATCGGTCCGCCCAGGAGGGAGAATGCGAAATTTTTGTTCGCGGCTCGGACCGACCCAGCGGCTGCAGACACTGATTCCGAGAGTCGTTTTCGTCGCGCTGTCTCCCTCCCACCCATACGGGACGGCCCATGAGTGTGGGAGAGACAGAGCGAAGAAAACTCTCGGAACCAGGGTGCCGCCACCCCCGCCGCCCGACGCGTGCAACACCAGGCCCTTGTCGCCCTGCTGCAGGCGCGTGGCGCGGCGCGCCGAGTGGCCCACTTTTGAAATTCGCGTGGAAGAGGCGGTGCGGCGCATACGCGCTGCCAGCGCCCTCAACAAATGCCCCATTCTGTCCCCCTCCCCTCCCCCCTCCCCTCCGCCCGTAATCCGCCAGCGGCCCCCTTCACGCGCCGCGCGCCGCGCTGAAATATCTGCGAACGTTCTTCGAGATGCGTTTGACGGAACGCATTTGTCCTCTATTTTCGTCGGTCCCGCGTACAGAGAGCCCGAACAAATGTGTGCCCGGGAGTGGAAACGAACAGCGAGCCGAAAAAAAGGAAAAAAAGGCGATATATTCTCTCTTGCAGTGCTGCCTGCCTTTTCCGCACCCCCTGCTCACACGCGGCAACGCGGGGCGACGCCGGGCAACGCGGCATCGATATTTTTTGTTCCGCGTTCTTTCCGCGCGTCAGCATCGGAATCAGTCCGGACATCAACACCCGATGGAAACTACGCTGAGGGGCTGCCTTTCTCTTTCCCCTTTCGCCTCTCATTCCCTGTTTTGTTATTTCTTTTTTCAAATTTTGGATGAGCACCATGATGGCGTCATTGGCGTAACATGGCGCACTTTGTTCCCGTTTCTGGAATCCAGCATCACCTCCTCACGCACAGTGGTCCAGAAGACAGGTGGCGGCGGTCAAAATCCCCGACGCGTTTTGAGCTCCAGAGTCACTAAACGGGACTCGAGCCGAACGTGTGACCCCACCAATGGATTGCTCTTCGAGCGAGGAATCCATTGGTGGGGTCGCACGCTCGGTTCGAGCCCCGTTCGGCGCCTCTGGAGCTCAAAACGCGTCTAGAGATTTGGGTGCCTCCACCGGTCTTCCGGCCCACCTCCTCACGGCCCCACACGCTACCCCAGGTAGCCGCCAGGGCCTGGAGTGCGGCCACGGCGCGTATGTTGGAATTGTTATTAAATCAGCCGCTGTCGCCGGCCGGCCGTCCAGCCCGGCCCCCTCCTTGGCCATCCCCACCGCGGCCCCGCCCGGAATGAAATTTCGCCCGTTCAGCATATTACCTCTTGCAATCCCCTCTCCACGGCTGCTGCGGCCGCCCTGTGCGGCTCTGCGGGGCGGGGCGGGGTGAGGGGGGGGGACGGGGTGGTCTTGGACGGCCAAGTTCCACATCGCGGAGCTGCAAGGCCGGCACGCCGCCCCTCAGCGCCACGTGCAGCTACGCCCCGCCCCGCCCCGCCACGCCCCGCCCCGCCTCGCCACACCCCGCCCCGCCCGCCCCACCCGCCCCGCCACGCCCCGCCCCGCCACGCCCCGCCACGCGCTGCCGGCCGCTAAGACTCTAATGCCCGCTAAGTAGCAGGATGTGCAGGGAATGGGCAAGCGGGCGAGCGACCTGGCCGTCCGCACGCCAAGTCCTCCACAAGGACCATGGTGCGCCACCGCCGCGGCGTGCAGGGGCGGGGCGGGGCGGGGCGGGGCCCGGGTGCAACGCTCGGACAAGTCTGATGCTGAAAAGAGCTGCGCTGCTCTGTCTCTCTCGCGCTCATAGTCCTCGGTAGACGTGAGAGAGGGACATCACAGCGAAGAAGACCACTTTTTGCAACACTCAGGACCCTACTGACTAACCCCACCAAAAATTTAAAAAAAAAACTAAAACTTGAAAGAAAAACAGGAAGGGCTGCATCACCTCAGTCAGCCTACTGGCAAACATTTCTGCGCCTTGTTCTGGAGAGGCTTATTGCCTGGTAGGCAGGCTGAGGTGTTGGCCACCCTTTCGGCCACCTTTTGCCTTCTTGCGTGGCCGCACCGTCCTGGCAGCCAGCCTGCCCCACGGCCTTGCCGGTCTTCCCCGGGCCCCATGATTCACGGTCGGTAATAGCGCCCCCTGGGCCTTCTAGTGGCCTCGCCGTGGCCCTCCAGTGGCCTTGCCGCGGCCCCGCCGTGGCCCCGCCGTGGCCCCGCGGACTGCGCGCTGCGGTCGGGAAAGTGGCGGCGGTCATACGTTGGGTTTGTCTGGCCCGGCATTAGCACAAAGCCTGCAAGACGCCCCGCCCCGCCCCGCCCCGCCCGCCCCGCCCCGCCGAAGGTGGCGTTCCGATTCAGTAATTCGAGTTCCAATGTAACTTTCCCTCCTCATATGGGGGATTGAGTTGGCCCAGGCCGGGCCCAGGCCCCGGAGCCCCCGCAGCCCCTAGCAGCCACGCCGGCCGGAGGGCGCGGCGGCAGCGGGGACCTACACTGCGAAAGCAGAAATGAGGGGGCAAGCGTTGCGCGGCTTGAATTAGCTTGGCCCGGAATAAGTTCTGTCTTTTTCTGCCTTTTCTTTTTAACTAGTATGTAACTAGTAACTGGTGTATTGTGTGAGCGATCGTCCGCGTGTCTGTCTGTCTGTCTGTCTGTCTGTGTGCGTGCGTTCTGCCCGAACGGCCGCCCATTAGTGGCGGATGCGAACAAAGTAAAGACGGCCGGCGGTCAGTCGAGAAGCAAAACGCGGCGCGGAAATCGCTGTTAGGGTAGCCACCCGCACCGCGCCGCCTTTCAGTGGAGCGGCCTCTGCAGCCAAGTTTCGCAAAAGTGCAGTTGGCTCCCCTAGCTCCGCAGGGCGTTACGCACAGTGAGCCAGAAGACCGGCGGAGGCGGCCAAAACCCCAGACGTGTTTTGAGCTCCAGCTTCGTTAAACTGGACTCGAACGCAGCGTGTGACCCCACCAATGGATTCCTCGCTCGGAGAGCAATCCAGTGGTGGGATCACACGTTCGCATTTAGCGACTCCGCAGCTCAAAACACGTCCAGAGTTTTGGCCACCTCCACGGGTCATCTGGCCCACTGTGAAACGTAGCGAGTCATTCCGAGGGCCGATTCGGTCGACGTCGCAAATAGCTGGAACCGATAGGTGCTGGGAACTGTCTGGATCGGCGCGGTGGGGCGGGGCGGGGCGGGGCGTGGCGGGGCGGGGCGGGTCGGGGCGGGGCAGGGCGGGGCGGGGTGCCCGGTCCGGGGGCTAGCCAAAACCCCCATTGTCTGCGGCTTAACCGATTTTCCAGCTCAACTGTATTCAGCCAGCACCTCTCTCCCCGCGCTGCCGCGCTGCCGCCGCCTGGCCGGGCAGGCAGCCTGGCGGACAGGGCCGGCCCGGCCAGTAGGTTTGCAGGCAAACAGGCGCCGGCCGGACGGACGGACAGGCGTGCCCAACCTGTTGTGCCCCGTAAGCGTATATCATTGCTTGTTAAGCCCGCCAAACAAAGCGCGCACCCGTGCGCGGCGTGTCGCGTGCGCGAGGGCTTCGCTGTTGTTGTTATTGTTGTTGGTCTTGTTTAAAAAGAAAGAGTTTATGCCAAAAAGATAATATTTGGCCAAAATGTGAAAAAAAATCGTTAATTTATCCTCTAGAGAATCTAAAAGGCACCTTTTTGACTCGCCCCGTTTTGGAATCATGACGTGTGTGTGTGTGTGTGTGTGTGTGTGTGTGTGTGTGTGTGTGTGTGTGTGTTACAAACACGCGATCTACTTGAAAGTTACAACGAATGGGGCGCGTTCGCTGAGAGTGCAACAACAGGCCGCGCCGCACAGCCGCACAACGCGTCATCCGGTTGACCAATAGGCACCGCGAGACTGGCCCCGCGGCGCGTCGCTGCGACTCCGCCGCGTCCACCACTGTAAATCACCAGGCGTGTGCCCTGTAAATAACTGCAGGGCTCCGGGCCATCGAGCTATGACCAATGGCCGTGTGTGTGTGTGTGCGTGCGTGTGAGGGGAGAGAGAGGGAGAGAGAGAGAGAGAGAGAGAGAGAGAGAGAGAGAGAGAGAGAGAGAGAGAGAGAGAGAGTGCTTGGTCGTTACACGGAGCGCGGCCCCGCGTGGACACCGATTCCACTGCGGCCATCGGAAAGGAGGCGTCCCGGTGATTGAATACCGCAGCGCGCCACCGAGCGCGCGCAACAACTTTTTGGCCGAATCAACAAACGTGGCGGCGGTAAACGGTTTTCCGCAGCAGCGCTAAAAACTTTGAGCGCTGCTAAACCCCCTGCTGCAGCGCCCGGCCGGCGGGGTTAAATATTTACCCTGACACCGGCGCGGCCCGAGGCCAACAAGTGACAGGAGACTGATTCCGAAATTGGTCGCTCTGTCACTGTCACACGTATACGGAACGCCCCGTGAGTGCGAGAGAGACAGAGCGACGAGGCTGGGAAGCTGACCTGGCCAGGTTGACGCGCGCGCGCTGTCCGCCGGACAGCGAGGAGCCCCTCTCCCCTACGAGCGTCAGGTCGCCGAAGGGTAGCTGCGCGAGGTCGGGCAGGAGCGCGCACGCCCGCACCACGCGGTCGTAGCGCTGCCGGTCGAAGTCCGAGCCGAAGGTGATGTTCTGCCGGATGGAGGCGGCGAAGAGCCACGGCTCCTGGCACGCGTACGACACCTTGCCGCGCACCGCCAGCCGGCCCGCCGTCGTGGCCAGCTCGCCCAGCACGGCCTGCAGCAGCGAGGACTGCGGGGGAGGAGAAGAAGAAGGGGCTTTAGAATGCACCTGGACGTAGAGGGCACAGTGGGCCAGAAGACCGGTGGAGGCGGCCAAAACTCAAGACGTGCGCACCAAAGTCGCTAAAAAGGACCCGAATCAAACGTGTGACCCCACCAATGGATTCCTCGTTCGAAGAGCAATCCATTGGTGGGGTCACAGGTTCGGTTCGTGTCCCATTTAGCGACCCTGGAGCTCAAAACGTGGATTGGGGTTTGCCACCTCCACCGGCCTTCTGCACACTAAATGTTTTTGTACATATTTTGTAATTTTTTGTGCAAACGAACTCTTTGTACAAATTTGAACAAAATTTTGTACAATTTTGTACAAAAAAGGTGATAAATGTGCAGTTTTTCGTACGAAAATTGTACGAAAATTTCATGTGCACAAAAAGCTGTAATGTCTCGTACAAAATTGTACACAACATTGTGAGCCACTGTGGTGCCCAGCAACAGGGCGTCGAAAGGGCCTAAAAAGTGGGGCAGGCGGCGAAGGCGCCATGAGTGTAATGGACTGGCTTTTTCGGGGACCAAGGAGTATCGCCCAGGTGTCCCGTGGCGTCGCCGTGACCTCGCTCTCGGTCATAACCGGGTAGTAAAATCCCGTCCCTCCCTCCGTGACGGGGCCCCTCTCCTGCCCGCCAGCAGACTGATTCCGAGAGTCGTTTTCGTCGCTCTGCCTCTCTCGCACCTCTCGGCCGTGACACCGGGAGAGACGGAGCGACGGAAACGACTCTCGGAATCAGTCTGGTGCCCGGCAGGCCCTGCGAGGCCCGACGGGTCCTACCTTGCCAGCCCCCACGGGTCCTATGACGGCCAGCAGCTCTCCGCTGTTCATGCTCAAGTTGATGTTCTTGAGCGTGTCCTCCGAATTGCCCCGGTTCCACTTGGCATGCATGGACCTGAACTCGAGGACGGGCCCGTTCCTGCAGCGACAAAACAACATCAACAACAAGAAAACGGCCGCCCCTTTGCACAGCCCCGTTGTTGTTGTTTTTTTTTGTTTGCTTGAAAAGTGAAATGAGCACACCATTACACGTTGGCCTGACCGCAGCGAAAAAGGTACCCGCCGCCGTGTATTAATGCAGAAACAACAACAACAACAACAACAACAACAACAACAACCAAAAACGAGACACTAACTTCCCGGCGGCGAGCCGCGGGTATTTCGGTCCGTTTAATGACTCTACATAAATTCCCACATGAATGCGTGCGGAACGTGCTGCTGTTGCTGTTTTTTTTTTGTGGTTTTCGTTTTTCGTTTTTTTTTTTCGCGCAGTTTACTGCTCAGCGTAATGAAAGGGGTCGCACTACCCGCAGCCCTTAATACACCTCGGCCTCTTTGAATGCCTAACGCGTCTGTCTGTCGGTCTGTCTAACCGTCTTTCTCTGTCTGTCTGTCTGTCTGTCTGTCTGTCTGTCTGTCTGTCGGTCTGTCTGTTTGTCCGTCTGTCCGTCCGTGGCTGCAAAGTAGTAACAGAAGCAGACTGCCCTCCCCTTCACGGGTCGTTCGGGAAACCTTGGAATGGCGTCAATGGCGCCGCGCCGCGCCGTGAGTGCGAGGGAGACGGAGCGAAGGCGGTGCGGGGGGCTCACCGGACGTGAATGGCGCTGCCGTTGGCGGCGACGCTCTGATCCTTTGGCGGGCCATTTAGTGCGTCCTCCTGGTCATCGCCAAAGCCGGGATTACTGCGGCCCTGCGAGGGCGCCGAGGGCGCCGAGGGCACCTGCCCCTCCTGCGCGTCGAACTCCTCGAACTCCAGGAACGTCTGCGGCAACCAACATTCGACAAATTGTTTTCGTCAGCTTTTTTCTTCTTCTCTCATGCACTCTGAATAGGCTCCTCCGAAGCATCTGCTTTTTAACCATGAAGATATTGAAGGCACAGTAGAATTGCTTCGTATTATGAAGAAAAACTTTGCATTCCGAAAGATTTTGCTGTTTGATACTAAGCCTTTTTTCCCCCGTACAATGCCTTCGTTTTTTTTGGTTCGATGTGATGCTTTCCTAGACTCTTTACTGTGTGTCAGGCGAACGATTCAAAAGAGCGGTCCGTCGCTCTGTCCCTCTCACACTCGTGCAGGGCGCCGAGAGAGAGAGAGAGAGAGAGAGAGAGAGAGAGAGAGAAGAGAGAGAGAGAGCAGCGACGGAGTGACTTTTCCGAACCGCGCTTCGCTGGAGCGCCTGTGCATAGCAGGGTAGGCCGTCCCGTTAAACACGCCAGTGCGTTGTGCTGCCTACCCGCCAGGCGCCCCTCCACGGCCAGATCGCTCCGAAAGGTGTCTCTGGCAACGTTTCGAGCTCTGGAGTTCTCGAATAAGACTCGAACAAGACACTCGAATGTGTCGATGGATCGCGCTTCAATCGAGGAGGCCACATATGAATCTGAAGGTTGATTTCGAGTCTTGGTAGAGAACTTGAGAGTTTGTCGCCCGAGCTTTCCTAGGGTGCACCACGAAGCCTTTCTATTCTTGTTTTTGGTCTTATTTTTAGTTTTTTGTTCGTCACCTGCAGGCGGCGGATGGACACTGCGCTTTCGGCGACCTCGGAGATGCCCCTCACGAAGAAGCTGCCCATGGTCATGGAGAGGATGTTGTAGTAGGACTGGATGGTGAAGACCTGCGGGCGTCGGTTCCGGTAAGGAGTGGGCCTCTTTGCTTTCAACGAGTGTGAACACACACGAACTTCAGCTTGCCCTTACCATGGAGGCCTTGAGAGCGTCTCCCGACAGGGCGTAGGTGATGAGCGTGGAGAAAATGGCGACGCGCGTGGTGAACATCATGAAGGTCATGAACACGCCCCGGACCAGGTACACAGCCAGGATCTGCTTGATTTCGTCCCTGTCCGCAATTAAAAAAATAATTCAGAATAATTTTTTATAAATGATTTTGGGGACTTTAAAGGCTCACCGTCTGGCCGCCGAGATGAGCTTGGTGAAGGGCTTCTCCCAGGCGTACATCTTGATGACCTGCACGCCGTTGACGATCTCGTCCATGAGGCGCACCCGGATGTCGGTGCGCAGGGCGATCCGGTGCCTGAACTTGGACGACAGGGTGCCGGTGTACGCTGCAGGGACAAGGACAACTTAAAAAATTATGGTGCGAACCAAAATTTTTAGGTTTGAAACGAGTTTTCAGTGGGTATAGTACAGAAAAATATTTTTGGGACAACCGAGGCGTGAAATTAACAAAGGAGCTTTGGGGACTTCTAAGTTCAAATTGTTTTGATTTTTTCTTCCCTGCAGGACGTGATGGCACTCACACTGCAGGGGCACGACCAGGAACACGGTGCCGATGCCCACGAAGCCGGCCCAGCCGACGTGCGAGTACAGGAGGTAGGCGACGATGAGCGTGAGCGTGGGGTCGATCCACAGATGGTTCAGGAAGATGGCCATGATGTCGAAGCGGCTCACGTCGTTGCTGAGCAAGTTGACCACCTGGCCCGACGCCGTCTCCCCCAGCGCCGTCTTGCTCAGTCTGGTGGCCTGGCGGACAAGGTCAGGACTCGGACTTCAGTTTGCCGCTTTCGGTAAATGGGACTCGAACCGAGCGTGTGACCCCACCAATGGATTGCTCGCTCCGAACGAGGAATCCATTGGTGGGGTCACACGTTCGGTTCGGGTCCTGTTTCGCGACTCTGGAGCCCAAAACGCGTCTGGAGTTTTGGCCGCGGGGGCCGGTCTTCTGGCCCACTGTGTAGCAACAGCCCGAAATAATCGACGCGGCCAGTGCAGGCCGTCTTTATCTGTATCGACCCGCGCCTCGACTCGCGTTGCCTCACGCCGTGATTCCGAGCGGCGTAAGTCTGGCCGCGGGCCGCACTTGGATGCCCCGAACAGGCGTTTTAATGAGCCCTGGGCTAGGCCTGACCCTCGGCCGGCTGAAGCGTGTCGCTCTGTCTCTCTCGCACCCCGTGCGGGGCGCCCCTGGAGTGCGAGAGAGACAGAGCGACACGCTTCGGAATCGGTAGTGTGCCGAGCCTCGGGCCGTCCGGCCATCAACGGTTGGTGCGCCCCGCCCTCGCGGGTGAGAGAGAGAGAGAGAGAGAGAGAGAGAGAGAGAGAGAGAGAGAGAGAGAGAGAGAGAGAGAGAGAGAGAGAGAGAGAGAGAGAGAGAGAGAGAGAGAGAGAGAGAGGGAGAGAAACAGGGAAGTAACGAATCGATAGTAACAACAAAGTCGCGCTGTCACCGAAGCGGCCTCGGCCACGCGGCCACGCCCAAGTAAATCTGAGAACGCCTCCGTGACTGACAGCGCGGCGGCGAGGCGCGGCGAGGCGCCCTTAATGATGCACTTAAGTCCGCCGACGCACCGCCGGGCACCGCCGGCCGGCGACCGAGCCGCCCGTCCCGACACGGCTTTGATCGCGCTACGCGCTGTGCTTAATCAACTTGCGTGTTGTTCCTCAATGGGCCACTTTCGAAAAAAAATAAAAAGTACCCGTCCGAGTTCTTTGATCGATCAACGGGGATGATGAGCGAAAGCGTTAGGGCTAGGATTCTTCTCAAAAACAATAAATCAAATCAAATCAAATCTCTCTCTCTCTCTCTCTCTCTCTCTCTCTCTCTCTCTCTCTCTCTCTCTCTCTCTCTCTCTCTCTCTCTCTCTCTCTCTCTCTCTCTCTCTCTCTGTCTCCCCCTCACCTTCCTGAAGACGAGCGAGCAGCAGGCGATGCGCATCTGCATGCCCAGGTGCATGCACGTGTACAGGACGTGGTTGGCCAGCAGCAGGGAGCCCAGCACGCAGAGGATGATGCCGCCCGCGTAGGCGAAGGCGTACTCCTTGGGCATGGTGGAGCCCGGCGAAAAGTACGTCAGCAGCTGGCCCAGCAGCAGCGGCTGCACCAGCCTGGTTTCAGAAAGGACAGAGTGAGGGCAAGGCCCTAAATGTCTAAATTCATCGAAATTCGACTGAAATTCATCGAAATTTGACTGAAATTCATCAAAATTTGACTAAAATTCATTGAAAGTCGACTAAAATTTATCGTTTTTGTACACCGAAATTGACAGTGATTTCCCCTTGGAATTGCGACTGACCTGAGGCCGATGCTGTTGACGGCGTCCAGCAGCCCCACGGCCACGAACTGCTTCCAGAACATGGCGGCCAGCGCCTTCAGGAAGCTGGCCCTGCCGCCCGTCCGGCGCGCCCTCTCCTCGCACGCCTTCCAGTGCCTGGGGAAGCAATCGTTATTCGAGTATTCGAAGCCTCAATACCAAAAGTAGCTCATTAACACACACTACACACTAAATGTTATGTACAATTTTTTTACGAGACATGACAGTTTTTTGTGCACGCGAAATTTTCGTACGATTTTCGTACGAAAAACTGCACAGGTTTCACCGTTTTTGTACAAACGTGTGAAAAATTTTGTACAAATTTGTACGAAAAGTTCGTGTGCACAAAAAAACTGTGATGTCTCGTACAAAATTGTTCATAACATTTTGTGTGCATAGGTGAACTCTTAGAAAACGCTAGTTTCAGCAAATGTTCACTGAGATTGAGTGTGTAATACACTACACACGGTAGGTCCTCGAATTTTTCACAAGGATTGCACTGGACCTTCAACTTGAGTTTTTTTTTTTTTTTTTTTCCAATCCGGCACGTTGTACTGCCTGGAGGAACGACTCAATCTGTTTTCGAATGATTTAGTTTTCCGGTTGGTTTGGCTGCCGGCAGTGCCGCCTCGGCCGCCGCCCCACGTGTCGGCGTCGCACAGCCTCCGCGTCCCGGCCTCCACTTTCGGCGGATGGCGCCACACTCTGCCGCTCTTCAGCAGACCGATTCCGAGAGTCGTTTTCGTCGCTCTGTCTCACTCTCGCACCTCCGGGGGGCGTCCCATGAGTGCGAGGGAGACGGAGCGACGAAAACGACTCTCGGAATCTGTCTGCAGCGGCGGCAGCGCGCGCAGCGCCCCCTGCACGAAGAGACGGAGGAAGCGGCGGTACTCACGCCTCGAGCTTGCTGCCCAGCCCCGCCGATTTGTCATTCTTGAGCGGCTCGTAGAGGTCCTCCACGTCGATGGGCTGCCGGAAGCCCTTCCAGAACGTCGGCCACGACCACCTGCATGGAGCACTGTTAGGGCGTCTTCGTCCAACGCGAAGCGACCGCGAAGCACAGTGACCCTCTGGCTCTGTCACACTTTGCAGTATCATCACTCTGGTGTGAGTGAGTCAGAGGGTCTCTGTGTCACAGTCGGGGTGTGAGCTGTTTTTGAACGGGTGACGTCATGGATGAGTGAGTTCGGAGAGCAATCCATTGGTGGGGTCACACGTTCGGTTCGAGTCCCATTTGGCGACTCTGCAGCTCAAAACGCGTCCGGGATTTCAACCGCCACCACGCCGGTCTTCTGGCTCGCTGTCCTCGTCGTCAAAGTGGTACTCACGCGAAAATGGCGACGGACACCGGGTTGGCGCCGACGCGGGGATTTTTCAGAAACTTGTGTTGGAACGTGTCCATGGCGCTAACGGTCCCACTCGTGCGTTGTCATTGGTGTAATCCTGGCTCAGCTGGCGCGCGCGCGTGATCGAGCGTCGCCGCTTTCTTTGCTGTCCGTCGCTTAAACGGTGCCCGGTGTGCCCCAGTTCCCCGTCGCGCCGCTTCTGCAGCCACACTCGAACATCGGAAGCGCGGAGGTGGGCCTGTGATAGTGCGGCCCCTCCCACTCCTCCACGACGCGACGCGTCGCGACACCGCAAGTGAGTCCGCGGCACTTGTCACCGCGACAGTCACCGTGGAAATGGTGGGCCGCGATCTCCCCTCCCGGTGGCGAGTGACGCATTCGCGAAAACGCTGCTTGGATAACCTCGCGGGGGGAGTGGAGTAGTAGAGCAAGCAGCAACCTGCTCTTCCCTCCGCTCGGCTACGCGCTAAGAGCCAATCGGATTTTGGATTCGAGTCCCATTCATGACCTCCTCTGAGCGTGTCTCTCGGCCTGCCGAGAGCTGTCCTTTGGCCTACACTGAGTAGCGCTTCGGTGCCGGTGGTCTAAACCCCGGACGCGTCTTGAGCTCCAGCGCTTAATGGGACTCGAACCGAACGCGTGACCCCACCACTGCATTGCTCTCCGAACGAGGAATCCATTGGTGGGGTCACACGTTCGGTTCGAGTGCTGTTCATCGTCCGGGGTTTCGACCGCCTCCACCGGTCTTCCAGCCCACTGTGCTGGCTGCCGTGATCCCGACGTCAAGGCCGCGGCGTGGATGCTGTCGCGGTGCGAGAATAGCAGAGCGAGAAGTGCAAGGGCGGAAGATAAAATTATCTCGGCAACGGTGGCGCGTCCGGAGAGCACGGTCGTTTCGATGGAAACGGGCAGCGGGACGGCGAGAACGGGGAAGGGCAGTCGCTTCCGATTTTCGGCGCTGGCTCTGGCCGGGCTGTGTTTCGCCCGCTTCATTCCATTCCTTATCAGCAGCCGCAGTTTGGAAGTGCAAGTCGCAAGAGCGGGACGGGCAGTCGGTTTGATCCGGTTCCACTGTCTTGGTTGCCGGGCAGTCCTGTCCTAAAACCAAGCTGGCTGTTCTGTACGATACAAATCTATCAGTACCGAGATATTGAGTCGCAATATCGGGAAATGGTCGCATGCTACTGAGAACTCTCCACGTTAATCCTTCTCCGTGTCGCCATGATAATAAGATTCCGGTTCGCAGTGCGAACAGTCGGATTTCGAGAGTGTAATAGCGCCGATCGCCCGAGTCGTCTGATTGTCTGATTCCGTACAGTGCTCTCTGTATCTCTCTCTCTTGCACACCTGCGGGTCTCTGCGGGTCCGAGTGTGAGAGGGGCAGAGCGACAACCACTGTTTTCGTGCCCACCACGCCTGGTCTTATCACGGCAGCCCTCATTCCGCGTAATCTCGGACACACATGGTGAGCCTTATCAAGGGCCAAGGTGTTTGCACTGCCGACATCCTGAGACGTTGAACGCTCCTTAAATGTCTCGCGAGGCGTGGCCGAAGCCCCGACTCGGATTCAGCGTCGAGATAGAATTGATTAAATCGACACGTGTGGAGCCTGATGAAAAAAATGTCTGTCAGCCAATCGGTTAAAGCCGACTCAAACCGGTCCCAGCGACAACTAATTGCATTGCATACTTTTCTGATTAAGACTTGGCGGAGGCAACAGTGTGGGCCAGAAGACTCTAGACGCATTTTGAGCTCCAGTGTCACTAAGCAGGACTCGAACCGGACCCTACCAATGGATTCCTCCTTCGGAGGGCAATCCATTGGTGGGGTCACATGTTCGGTTCGAGTCCCGTTTAGCGACTCTGGAGCTCAAAACGCGTCCGGGAATTTGTCTGCCTCCACCGGTCTTCTGGCCCACTGTGGCAGCGGGTTGGGCGCAATTGGGGCCCTTCCCTTCCAGTGTGGTGGGCCACCCCGCTGACGTCGAACACGTTTGCGCGATAAATCTCGGCCGGTGGTCGGGGACCTCATATGCTTTGTCAAATCGAACTGGAGATTTTGCATGCTCTCCGATCGTTCCGCATATTTCTTGCGAACTAGTCGCAGGAATACAGAATTACCAGTGCGGGGAACTCTTACACGGGCGGGACCGCCTGGCAGGGACACGGGGCGGACGGAAGGGTGGAGGAGGAGAAGGAGGGGGAGGGGGAGTTGGTGGTGGTGACGGAGGTTGCTTTTTGGAAATGCCAACTGACAATGTGATTTATGTGGCTTATTCGGCAGCATGTGGCGCCCGCGCGCGCGCCGTTTGTGTAAGTGTGTGTGTGTGTGTGTGTGTGCGTGTGCGTCTGTGTGTGTGTTCTCTCTGGGGCATACTTGTTCGTGTTTGTTCTGCCCTTCCTGAGTTATCTCGGTTTCGGGTCATCGGTTTGCAGAACGCTTGGTCCGAGAACAATACTGAGGGATGTAGGGGGGCTCTGTCAGGATGGAAGTTGTTGTTGTGTACGCACGTGCAGTGTGTTCCGTCGGTGCAGGTCGCGCGCTGCTGCGGTATGCACGCCGCGCAGGCCGTCGCCGAACAGTGTTTGGACTTGTGGCTTCGGGCCTTCGGGCCTTCGGGCCTTCGGGTGGGGGTGGCCTGGTGACGAAAGCTTTTCATTTTTTGACAAATGACTGTTGTAAGATCGATGGTGCTGTTTACTCGGCGCTGACATCCAACCTGTTTGCGGCGCGGCGCCGTGCAGCGATGTGGACGCGGCGGGAGCGGTCGAAATGTTGCTCTAGTTCGTCTGTAGACTACCGGGTTGCTGTGGTGAGTTTTCTCAGCAGCTACTCGGATACCTCAGATGCTGCATCCTATTCGAGTCGACTTCATTCGGATAGTAAAGTGTTGTCTGAGGCTAATCACAGGGATTCTATCCGCATGACGTACTCACAGAGATAACCGGCACTTTCAGTGGTGCGATGTACACGCTTTGTCAGCATAGTTACTCATTTTTTAAGCACACAGCGGCTAAGCTGAGCAGCCCTGAAGCATCAACAGAATGACCTTTTCATTTTCCTGTAAATCATAGTCTATATTTTATGAAGGAATTATTATTGTCTTGATACAGTTACTGGAATTTTTTTCGAAAACAACTTATAATTCTTTTGAGTGCAGATATTTTTCTTAAGTTTGAGTACGTTAGAAAATGTTTTTGTTTTTCGCTCGATGTTAGTTGCGTTTTGTAGTATTAGATTTTTCTGGCCTTTCTTTTTACTAAAGTTTCCATGCGTGGTGCCGGCGAGTCTGTTTGGGTCGAACGTTTCGGAATGTCCCTTCCCCTCGCCTCGCTCGCAGGGCCCTCGCCCGGGTTCAATTGCCTTGGAGCCGATGGCTTGCGTGGCCCGAATACAAACAAGCGTCTCTGCAATCACAACTAAATTCAAAGGGGGAGGCGGACTTCCGGCGCCAAACCGATCGGACAAATTTCACAACACGAAAATGTCTTAAAATAAATAAACATCCATGAAACACTTTTCGTCTTTGCAGGCAGGACGTACTGTCGTTCTGTGTTTTCCGTGAAAGAAAATGGCGAATTTTGTTTTGGCGCTGCTGAACCGGGTGGGGGTTGCAATAAGAAATATCCGGGGCCGTGAGACGTCTCGGGATCCGGTTCGTATATCAGCAGCAGCGGCCGCCATTCTGTTGGCTTTGTTATTAGTGTGCCGGGCCACCTGTTACCGCGCCGCGCTGTTGCTCCAGATGCCGCCAAAATATTGTTACACTTTTTCTTGGCTCCCTCGAAGAGCAACAATTTAATGTCAAGGTCGTTTGCATTTTTCATCGCGGCCGCCGCCGGACTTTGGCTGTTTGGTGTTTCCCGAGGTGTTTTCCTCCGCCTTGTTGGGCCCCTTGAAGGTGAGCTCACCGCGGCGAGCTACCCTGCCCCCTTCTGGGTTAACGTCTGGTACGGACAGTTTCACAGGAACCATAATATTTCATTTTAAAATAACTTTGGGCCAAAACTGACGGTAAAATTTGGTGTGTCTACAAAAAAATAAAGGAACGGGGGTGCTAATATTAAAAATGTCTTTCAACCTCTTTATGTATCTTTGAAAGTCAAAGGATAATCTTGCCAAAAAGCGGCTTTTTCACACGTCGCTTTATGGTCCGATTCCTCCTTCCGGGCAGGTTATGCATCCCCCTGGGGTAAGTGGGGGTCCCGAGGGACGCTTTAGCCCGCCGGGACGCCCCGGGAAGGGGCCGGGCCCCAGGCAGGGCCTCGGGCAGGGCCTCGGGCAGGGCGGCAGGGGGAGCGCGATGCGCCTCGAGCAGGCGAGCGGATTAACAGCAGCGGTGGTACTTTAAACAGGAAATACGACACTGGAAGGCGACGGCACGACGCAAGAGGACCAGGCGCAGGCAGCCAAACTCAAGACGTGTTTGAGCTCCAGAGTCGCTAAATGGGACTCGAATCGAACGTGTGCCACCATCAATGGATTGCTCTCCGAACGAGGTATCCATTGGTGGGGTCACACGATCGATTCGAGCCCTGTTTAGCGACTCTGCAGCTCAAAAAGCGTCCACAGTTTTGACCGCCTCCTCCAGTCTTCTGGCCCACTGTGCGTTGTCGCCCGGAGAAAACAGCGCGGGAAGACATGTTGATAAACATGGCGGTGCGTGAGGATCCGCACGCGGCGCGATGAGGAGCCGCTATTCTTGGCGCGCTCGGCTCACCGCGCGCAGCGGTAGTACCTCTGCCCTTGTCGTCCCGGCTGTGCAAACACCATCCTCAGTCCGCCTTGGCCTTGTTGGGGGAATGCAGAGCCCGGGAATGAAAACTAGACTCTTTGGGACGCACGGCCACGGCACGGCGCGCACGTGGGGCCGACAGCACGGGGGCGTGTTTCATGATGGACCACCCAAGTGGTGGCCTCCAGCCCCGCCGAGCCGAGCCGTGCCGAGCCGAGCCGCGCAAATAAATCACTTTATTGGATTTCACGTGTTTTCACGGCGCCAAGTGTCGCGGGTGGCGCCTGCTCTCTCTCTCTCCCTCTCTCTCTCCCTCTCTCTCTCCCTCTCTCTCTCTCTCTCTCTCTCTCTCTCTCTCCTCTCTCTCTCTGCCCCGCGATAACTCTGCCGCTGGTGGCCGGGCCGCGCCGAGCCGCGCCAAACGTGTCGACGTCACGCGGAAAGTAGCCAACTTGTGGAACGGCCGGCAATGTGTTGCTGAAACAATCAATGCTGTCGCGGCTCAACAATTAGTCGCTCGCCCCGGATGGATACAGCTGGGCGCGCCGCACAGGCCGCACAGTGGGCCAGAAGGCCAGGGGCCGCCAGGGGCGGTCCAAAACCCGGACGGGATTTGAGCTCCAGAGTCGCTGAATGAGCCTCGAACCGTACGAGTGACCCCACCAATGGATTGCTCTCCGAATGAGGAATCCATTGGTGGGGGTCACACGTTCGGTTCGAGTCCCATTTAGCGACCCTGGGAGCTCGCCACGCGTCTGGAGTTTTGGCCGCCTCCACCGGTCTTCTGGCCCACTGTGAGGGGGCGGCGGTGGCGGTCGTGGGGGAGGAGATTCTGTACGAAGGTTCCTGCGTTTGACAGCAGGCGCATTAGCGCGGCGTGATGGATGTACATCGCTACCTAAAATACTCCCAGAGAGGAGGAGCGGCGGCCCAGTCGGGCCGTGCCGTGCCGTGCCGTGCCGTGCCGTGCCGTGCCGTGCCGCCGGGCCCAGCAGTGGGGCCCGCCACGTTTCCCACGTCAAACCGCGGGGAATACCAAGTCACCTTTAATGGCTTATCACATAATTTTTGTTGTTTTTGTTTTTATTATTCATATCACTTTGATATTAATACCGAGTGCACTGGCAGTTTAATTTCGCAAAATAGTTTCACACAGAGTGTCTTATAGTTGCTTCAAAAATACCGCGAGCTTGAACCGGGCATAGCCACGAAGGCCACAAATGCGTATTTAATGAATTAAAATTCATCATCGTGCTGGGGGGGGGGGGGGGGTGAAAGCCTTGTCTGGGTGCAACTGACCACACACTACATATTATGTACATTTGTACGAGACATCAGTTTTTTGTGCACACGAAGTCTTCGTACAAATTTTGTACGAAAAACTGCACATACTTCCCCATATTTGTTCATAATCGCGTAAAATTTTGTACGGAAATTCTGTGCAGAAGAAACTGTGATGTAACGTACAAAATTTGTGCAGAAACATTTAGTGTGCAGCAAAACTCGGTCAACTGCCTTTCTTGCGGTGTAGGCGCGCAAGGTGTGGCGGCGCCCCTCCAACGCCACGCCTGCCCCCGCCCGGCCTGGCCCCTGGCCCCGCCCGGCCACGCCCCACGCAGCGCCACTTGACGATCTGTTGGCCAGAAGCCATCTCCAGCACGGCTCGCTGTGCGCCGCTGTGCGGTGTCGAGTTTCTTGCGGACCTGAAGGCTTGCCGGCGGCTACTGGGGGCTGGAGGCTACTCTCTCTCTCTCTCTCTCTCTCTCTCTCTCTCTCTCCCTCTCCTCTCCTCTCTCTCTCTCTCTCTCTCTCTCTCTCTCCTCTCTCTCTCTCTCTCTCTCTCTCGCCAACCGCTGCCCCCGCCGCCGGGCTCCCATTACCCCACAGGTAAGTTTAACCCAACTCGAAATCCACTTTCAGACGTAGCAGCAGGTTTGTCTTTGTGTGTGTGTGTGTGTTTGTGTGTGTGTGTGTGAGAGAGAGAGAGAGAGAGAGAGAGAGAGAGAGAGAGAGAGAGAGAGAGAGAGAGAGAGAGAGAGAGAGAGAGAGAGAGAGCTCACATTCTAAATGAGGCCGGGGGATTGCCACACAAACAGGTCAAATTTCGGCCGCCGCAGCGACCGCACGACGTGCGCGCCGCACACAGTTTCTGAACGCGGTCTTTGGCGGTCTCTGGCGGCGTCGGCATGGCGACCGAGACAATGGGCACGCTGCCTGCAGACTGAGAGAGGTTTTCGTCATGCTGTCTCTCTCGCACCAGCATGGGACGCCCTATGAGTGCGAGAGAGACAGCGACGAAAACGGCTCTCGGAATGCTGGCGCGGACTTCGTCGTTCATCACGGCCTCCTCGGCGTGTGAGTGAATTTTGGCGCGCGTTCCACCGTTTTCCGGCGCGGCTCGGCACGGCCCTGCACGGCACGGCGGCTGCATTGTGGGAAGCAGTGGAGGTTTTTTGGGGCCGGCCGTGCCGTGGCGACGCCGCGCTGCCGCCGCCGAGCCAGCGTCCAGGAAGTTTCCTTCCACCAAGGAACTCTTGGAAAGAATTTTGCTGGAAACGAGCGGAGCCAAAAGTTGATCAGATGTTGGTGCGGCAGCGTGCTGCAGACTCACCCACTGGGAGGGGCGGTCGGACCGGACCCGACTGGACCGCCACGTCTAATAGATTCGCGTCAACGGCGGCGTTACACAGTGGGCAAGAAGACCGGTGAAGGCGGTTAAAATCCCAGACGCGTTTTGATCTGCTGAGCTGCTACACGGGACCCGAACTGCACGTGTGTGTCCCCACCAATGGATTGCTCTCTGAACGAGGAATCCATTGATGGGGTCACACGTTTGCTTCGTAACATCAGAAGTCGTGTAACTTTCGGAAGGCCGGAGGCAATAGTTTTTCTTCTGACAAGTCAGTTCTCCGGGCATTACCATGATTTTTAACACGTTCGTGTTCAAAAAGTAATTTTCGCGTTGCAGACTTAACGCACTTGAAATGACGCGGCCGCGGACCGGCGAGTCTTTTGTTTCATTCATGTGCTTCTTGCGGCCGCGCCGCCCGGCCGCGCACAGCGAGTGACTTATTAGCATTTCAACTGCCAATCAGAAAGAACAGAACGGGCGGTGGTCGCGGGATGGGCAGGGCCGGGCAGGGCCGGCGCGCCGCGAGAGCGAGAGAGACCGCAACAGGTGCGATCAATCAAGGCGGGGCAGGTTCATTCCGTTAGCATGCATGGCGGAGAGGATCGGACCGCAGGACGGCCGAGATCGGACCCACTAGCCACGCAGGGACGCTAGGGCGGTATCGGACTGCAGGATCGAGACGGGGCGGTATCGGACTGCGGAATCGAGAATCAAGAGTGTCTAACCGAGAGTCGCTTAAACGAGAGTCTATCTAATCGAGAGTCTCTAATGGAGAGTCTCTAATCGAGAGTC